AGGAGGGAGGGAGGGAGGGAGGGAGGAGGCACTCAAAGCCAGGCCTGTTCTGCAGATCTGGGAGCTGTTCCCAAGTCCCCGAGCCCCAGTCCAGCTGTGCACACTGCGCTCACCTGGCAGAAAGGGTATGATCCGCTGCTTGGGGTCCTTCTGTCCCCCTTCCATGGGAAACTTGTCCAACATCTGCATCTAAGGGGGAAGAACACAACATATGAGAAGCTCTCAGAATAGGAATGTATTGCTGACAGTTAAAGGACTTATATATGAATTAAGCAGATGGATATGTAAAAGGTTCACTTAACCCAGCTCTTCAGAACTTTTACTTGAAGTGATAAGGAAGGAGATACCAGCTGTCTCTCGGATACCTGTGGATTCTTTACATTTGTATCTCCCAGAGATACAAAGAGTTGCAAGAGATCGGTCCTGATTTCCTGGAGGTTTTGGATATGGGACTTGAGATGTGAGCAACAGGCTTAGGACTACTATGACTGGCAGGTCATCCTGTTTGCTGAGAATTGACAGGCATGCTTAGAAACAAACCACCAAGACTCCTCTCATCCGATTAAATCGATGCCACCATATCATAATCCACTCCCATAATCGACTCAGAAGGCTGTAGGTTTGTTCTGTAGACCGATGGGTAACTGGCTCTGTACTGGACGCATGGGCTTGGCCATGAAAAGGCGCATCACCCCAAGAAGAGTCTGAAACACAGACTGATGATTACAAGATGCTGCAGAAGGGACCAGAGAAGGAAAGTAGGTTGGTCAGAAGTAGGGGAATAATGGGGGCACCATAAATGCAGCTCTGACATAATAAGGAAGCAATGTGAATTCAGTGCTCAAACCCACAAGCACCTGCTGCTTACCCTCTATGGTTCTGAGGGAGCAGCATAACCTTTCAGGGTCTCATCTCGAAGGCTGCCACATGATAGCAAGTTGTGACATTAACTTCATAGGTTACAACCTGGGTGTGGTAAGCACATTTCTGGTGCTTCTGAGCACCCCGTGAACGTGGGCCTGTTCCCAGTGACATGTGCACACATGGCTGGCACAAGGCTCACTGTTCTTCATTTTCTGCTGCCTTGGGGACTAGCCACACTCCAAGTATTGGCTTCTCTTCCTGCTAGAGTGCTAGTGTGAGAGTCAAGAGCCACTAAACAACCTTCATGCCCACCAGAGACACAAGATACAAGATGCGCTGGCTGTTGAGTAACGACCCAATATAAAGGGGATCCTCATAGGTCTGAGGCCTGTTTGGAAACTTGCCTTCTGCAGGACAGACTCTGCTGCCTCATGGTAGGAAACAAATGGCCTTAGGACGAGGCCAGTGTTACCAGGCCTCAAGGAGGACAGGCACACTTCTGCATTGGCTGATCAAAAGGCAAACTGAGCAGAGAGGAGGTAGGGTGGGAGTATAGCTTTCACACTTAGCTGCACCTCCCATCTTGCCCCTGCCTTCTGGGTATGCGACTATCTCTTGGAACTTGAAGTTCCTGTCTGTGAAGTGGACATAATACTGACCACATGCTTGATAAATGAGGACTAAAAGAAATGGCATTTAAATCAAGTGCTTGGCACATTTAATGGCTGATTATCTGGCAAAATGCTTGCTGATATTCTTACTACACATGAAAGCAATTTTCCATGATGTGTTGCTTTCAGCTCTGTGGGCATTCTAGTCACTTCCAGTGTCCTGCTAGCTCCTCTGCCACTTTCCCATAGACTCTCCAGTGCAGTCTAAGTCTAAGGCAGGAAAGGTAGCTCAATCAGTCTGAGTGACTGCCGGGGTAGGGATCTGCCTGGCCTCTGTAATAAAGGAGGGGGCTTCACATTAGGTTCCTATATTGTTTGTGTGGTGTGTGTGCCCACGCATGCATGCCAGTCATGGAAACTGAACTCAGTGACTGGACGCCATCTCTTAGCTTTTTCATTCAAGTTTAAAGCTCTACTATTTGAGCCACAGCTCTGCTTCCAGCGTTTTGGTGGCTAACTGCAGAGAAGACCATCCCAGACTTTCCTGCCAGGACTGGCTTCAAACTGCAATCCTAAATCTCAGCCTCTTGGGTGGCTAAGACTACAGGTGTGAGCCACTGGTGCAGCTTAGGTCCCTTTTCTAAGCCAGGGCTCTAGCTCACCCTTATGTCCCAGCGTGAACAACTATCCTAGGACAAGTAAGTCAGAACAGCAAGTCAGAGGTGACCCTTATTGGGGGGATCAATTTGCTATTGAATGAGTATCTCCTCCTCCATGGCAGCTTGGGCCATGCCCCATCTCCTTCAAAGGGCCTCTATGAAGACTGTTTCCTCTGCCTAGATGTACTGCTCAACCAGTGGGCACTCTTACAGTTTTCTGTCACCCACAGGGACTTCTAGGAAGTGGTCTGGGGTCCGATCACTTGTGTCCAGACACACCCACAGGAAGCGAACCCTATTTATTGTCCTTTGGCTTTAAGCAGCCTGGCTAATGACACAAGATGAGTTGACAGGACTGTTGCCTAACACTCTGAGGTTCAGTTATTTTTTCTGAAGTCCTATACTAGTGTGCTGGATGCAGCCTGGTGCTGTAGCTGCTGCCACAGCCATCTCCACAGAGTGGAGAAAACCTGGTCTTCTATGTGGGGCTCCTGGGCCCAGTCACATCCAAAGCCAAAGACCTGTGACCTCCTCAGGTACATTTAGACAGTGAAGGTGTTTTTCAAATAAATACCATCTTGACTGCCTTTCTGTAATCTGTACCTAAAAAACAAGATATCATGGCCAGTAAATGACAAGACTTGGATCAAATCCCAGCTGTCTGATTCCAAAGCCCAGGACCTTCCTAAACCGGTGCCATGTCCTCCTTTGGCCTTTATGCCAGCTCCAGGCAGCCCCCGGGCCACACACTCATCAGCAATCCAAGCTGCTGGCATCCACTTGGGTCTGACAGCCCAGGTCCCCTCTTCTCAGAAAAAGAAAGAATCAGGATTTACCTCATATACCAGTAATTTTACCCACTTGCAATCTACAATCCAGAGGTTTTTACAATATTCACATTGTTCACGTGCAATCATAGCTACAGTCTAATTCTAGGATTTTTCCATCACCCCCAAAACATCAAGACCCCTCCATTGTCCCCTCCCTCAGCCTTGGCAGCTACTCATCCGTTTGTCTCTGTGGATTTGCCTCTTTTGGATCATCAACTTTAACCCTGACAACCTTGTGAAATAGCAACTAGAGAGCGAGGCCATGGTGAGCACTGTGGTGCGTAGATGCTGGTGCTGTCCACAAGCTCTGACCCGCACACGCTGGTCACTTCGGGTAAACGAGTGAACCTCTCTTGGCCTAAGTCTCTTTATCCCTGTGACTTGATCAGTTTGCTGTAAGGGTTAAATGAGTTACCCATCTGCACATTTAGAGGATGAAGCCTCCATTCAGTGCTTCAGAAGGGCTGGCTAGTTAGTTCTACGTCCTCCCCTGTGTCAGTGACGGCTCTGCCAAGGGGTTTAGGGTGTGCCTAGGCCACACATCAGGAGGGGCAGCCCATTCCCAGACCTCCTGCGAGAGGCCCCACACTGGCTAAGCTGCTCCTCCACCAAGCAAGTCTTGGCTTTTTCTACACTCTGCAAGCCAGTGACTTCAGGGTCAAAAAAAGGCTACAAACCAGATTGGGGGGGGGGGCTGTGGGATCACAGAGCCAGATGGTATCAGGGCACTATATTCCTACTGGCTGGCTTCCTGACCTGGCCTTGGAACAGCTGGGCAAGAGCAGCCCTGCCTCACTTTCTCTAGTTGCCTGCTGGGTGGATTTGGGGAAGGAAGAGCCTTTCCCAGCATGAGCTGGACACTGTGAGATCCCACAACTTCTCCTCTCTGCACACCCAGCTGGGCCTCTTGAAAGCTGGCCAGAGTCCTGCCTTTGGCAATGTCATCATGGGACAGACACCAGAGGCAGCCAATTGTGTTGCAGCAAACACTTGATTGCTGCCAGTTACGCTGAGCTGGGAAGAAAACCTTACTTTTAAATTCTGGTAGAGGGGCTTGGAAGGTGGCTCAGTGGTAGAGCGCTTGCCTTGCATGCCTGGGGCCCTGGGTTCTATTCCTCAGCACCACATAAGCAAAAAGAAAAGCCGGAAGTGGCTCAAGTGGTAGAGCGCTAGCCTTGGGCTGAAGAGCTGAGGGCAGTGCCCAGGCCCCGAGTTCAGGCCCCACGACCGGACCCAAAAAAATAAAATTCTGGTAGAAATAAAGTGACTCAGAACAGGAGGGTAGAGGGAACTGGCTTTGGGTCAAGAAGATGTGGTCAAATACTCAAGTATTGCCAAAGGACGTCACCGGGGGTGAGCCACACCTGTGCAGTGCAGGTGACAGCCGATACACTGAATCCAGAGCACCTGATTTAACTCTTTCCTGATATAAAACCCAGGCTCAGAAACAGATGTGACATCAAGCTGTGGCTCCTTCTTGGAGGTGTCAGGCAAAAGGCCTGTACACATTCAACTAAGGCAGCCCCCCCCCCCATGAAGATGCTCACTGCCTAGAACACTGGGTTAGCAACACCAACCGTGGTTATCTAACACGTCTCCAGAATCTGAAGACCTGCTGTAAGGCATGTGCATCTTGACCCTGGTCTGGGTCCGGGGCCAGGGTGGCCCTGGTACTGCTGGTCTTTCTCGCATGGGACAAGGCTCTTGCTCAGGGATCTAGAGGAGTCCGGGCATTACAGGGGGCAACGTCCCTTCCCTTCTTCGAGAGTTTGCCTCTTCCCTAGCCCCACTGTTTCTCCCTGCCATCTCCATTTTTTTTCAATTTTTTTTTTTGTCGGTCGTGGGGTGCCATCTCCATTTTTGATGGTAGCTTAGCATCTTTACTAATTCCTTGACTCATCAGCAATTTCTGCTTTTTAGTGCTGGTGATCGAACCCAGGCCCTTGTGCAGCGTAGGTGAGCTCTCTACACTGAGTAGAGCTCTGTTCCCAGCTCCTGAGCACCCTGTGCATCTAGGTTCTTTATTCATTTATACTCAGTTCACATTTGTAGCATATCATCAGAAATGTTCATCTGTATGTGATGCCATTTACTTGAGTGCATGCTGTTGAACACCAAATGCCACAAACGAGTTTATTATACGTTAAATAATTAGGCAGTTGCTATCTCACCTGCTTATGCAATAAGTCTGTCATAGGCATTTGACAGTGTTTCAAAAACACTGCAAAAAATGTCTAGGAGCACGTTATTATCGCTCCATCTGCCACAATGGAATACGGGCCCTTACAAGGTTTTTATTTGTCAGTTTCAGAAGACTGTGCCTACACACCCAACCTGTTGTCAACATCACTCAGGTTTCTGTTAGAACCTGCCAGGTGGAGCTGGGAATGTGGCTCAGTGCTAGCCTTGAGTAAAAGAAGCTCTGAGTCAGTGCCCAGGCCCTGAGTTCAAGCCCCAGGACAGGCAAACAAAACAAAACAAAATTGTCAACTTCTCTCCCTACTTCAGTCCACCTTTGAGGCTAGGGGGAGAACACAGACAAGGAAAGCCTGCCAAACTGCCAGAGATGAGTCTGTGACACACAACGTGCTTTCTGTAACTCTGAGAAGTATTACTCTTTTCTGTGACGAGTGAGCCCAGAGTTGTCAAAACCCTTTTTTATAATCATGTGGGATCCGAGGGTAAAGCCAACATTGCAGAAGCACTGATATGGAAGTAAGGTCAGGTGACCTGAAAACCTTCACATTCGGTTACACCAGCTCCCTATGTACTGAAGCAAGTCTGAGTTGATTTGGTCACTCCCAACAAAAGTGACCAGACTGATACACAGATCGAAGGAGAGGGGCCTGAGAGGTGGCATGGATCCTTGGGGAACACTTCAGAAAACTGAGCGTGATCCTCTTGTCTCTGAGGCAGACACTTCCTAAGGAGCGTTGTCCTGCATATGTTCAGGGACCATGACTCTTCATACTGCTCTGAGCTGCTTCTTGAGATGAAGCTGCTATTTTACCCCCATGTGACTGTGCTGACACTCTTCTCTCTGATACCAGCAGTGTTCATTCATTCACTGAACACTGACTGGACCTGCACTGTGTACTTCAGCCTTTGTGTTAATTTCCCATCAGTGTGACAAGATACCAGAGATAATCGAGGCTGTGATCTGGTGGAGAAGAAGCTCATTTTAGCTCATGGTGTCAGAGATTTTGAATCATGGTCAACTTTGCTCCTCAGTTTCGGGGCCTGTGGTGAGGGAGAACATTATGGCAGGGAGGTAGGGTGTGATGGCACAAGCCTGCTTAGCTTATGGTGGCCAGGAAGCAATAAGAGGAAGGACTGTGGGGTGGGTTCCATATCCTCTCCAATGTCACATCCTGTGACCTAAGTTCCTCTAACTAGGCCAGACAGTGCCACAGGCTAGTGACCAAGCTTTTAGTATCGGTCTTGGGCAGATCCAAACCATAGCAGCCTTGGGGAAGACACTTCACTAGAGAGAATCACACACAGCTGCAGGGATACAGATCAGGTGCCCCTTGCTAGTCAGAGAGCAAGTCAGAGAGACTGAGAATACTGATAGGAAAAGGAGCCAGCGAGGAGGCTCTTCAGGAAACACAACTACTGCCTAAAACACACTGTGGCTCACACCTGTAATCAGGAGGCTAAGATCTGAGGGTCATGGTAGCCCAAGCAGGAAAACCCATGAGACTCTTACCTCCAATTTAGTACCAAAAAGCCAGAAGTAGAGCTGTGGCTCAAATGATAGCGCACTAATCTTGAGTATAAAAGATCAGAGATAGTGCCCAGGCCCTGAGTTCAAGCCCCAGGACTGGCACAAAAACAAACAAAATGCACAAAATCATCTAAGTTGCCGTACAGAAGCACCTTCCAGATCTCCCTCCCTTCTGGCAGAGGACTTTCCCCTTATTTGGAAAATACTGACTACAAAAACATAAGGAAATAAAGAGCATTATTTATTATTATTCAGTATTGTTTCCAAAGTAAGGGACATCATTTTTAAGTCTAGGACATGAAAAAAGGTCCAGACTCATTATGATAGTGGAGAGCAACTCTGAAACTTAACTCGTTCCCACCTGGAAGCTTATGAGAGACCCCAAATCCTTACCTGCAAGTCAAAGAACTTGCTATAGCGCCTGTAAATGGCTTCCGTGGAGCCACTGGACCACGTGACCCGGATGATATAGACCTGAAGGAGAGACCGAGGAGACAGGTATTAACGCCAAGGGGTTTAGTATGTGTTGAATGTGGGGAGATCCTCAAAAGGTGATCAGGTAATCAGATCTAGAGATCCACGAAAGGATTTAATACTATCTGAGGAACATGTCATTGGATTTGCTTGTTCATCTTCTCTCCTGCTGCCATGTCTGCTTTGTGCTATGGATAATGCTTACAGTTGGTGCTCTATCACTTGAACCAGGCCTCTAGTTCCTTGCTCAGGATTATGTAACCAAAAGGATCTTATATGACGCAAGCCCTTTGATCTCAGATTTCCCACCTTCTAGAACTATAAGAAATAAATCTACATTCTTTATCAATTATTCATTTGTTGTATTCTGCTATGTACAAAATGGAGTTAAGAAAGGGGTCTTTAAGCCTTTAATCCTAGCTACTTAGGAGGCTGAGATCTGGAAAATCATAATTTGAAGCCATCCTGGGCAGAAAAGCTGTGAGACTCCCTCCCAATAACTAGGAAAAAGCAGGCTGTAGGCAATCCTCAAATGGCAGACCACCACCTATCAGCAAAGCAAGTAGAAAGAGAGCATGAGACACCTAAAACCAGGAAAAAAGAAAGGAGCGAAGGAAGGGAACGAGACAAAGGAAGGAACGAAGGAAGGAAGGGAGGGAGGAAGTCTTTTGTCCGTGGCACTGTTGGAGAACACAGGATGAAAGAAAGACTTGGGTTTGACTGTCAGCTCTGCCAGTGACTAGCTTGACAAGTTACTTACTGTCTCTGAGCCTTAGCTTCTTCTTCCTTAGTGTATATAATACCCTCTTGCAGGACTTACATGGCCTCAGGCGCGAGGAAGCTGGGAAAGCACAGAGCTGGGAAAGGGCACCTGCTTCGAGGCTGAGTCAAGGCCAAATGTCATGCTGCCCCCCTTAACTGTGGGTGACCACAGGCTCCCACGTTTAAAACACCCACAAAAGTGCGGAGGGCGCCAACTCAGGTGACAGGTCTCAACAAGTGCATACACCTACACATAGAGTGTCGATGAAAACAAGGATCAACTGCATGGCATAAACTGTGTGTATCTGTATTTGTTTATGTCTGTGTGTATGTGTGCTATGTGCACACAGGCCTGTCCCTTTGTCTGTACACACATGTATTTATGTTTACTTGCATGCTTGTGTATTTACTCTTGCTTCTCTGGGTTGATAGGAATATGGAGGACTTAAAAAAATCTGTCCTTCATGTTTTCTTGCATTTTCAGATGCTTTAACACTGTCTCTTGACTTACAGTGGGGTTTGTCCTCATAAACTCCTCCAAGTTGAAAATATCCTAAGCAGACTCCACCAAATGCATTTACTCCACCGAACCTATCCATCTTTCCATTCAGCAACATAATGCGCCACGGAGCATGTTGGTTTGCTCATGATCGCAGAGCTGACAGGGAGCTGCACGCCACAATAGAGGGCTGGAGTATTGTCACTTGCTCAGGAAGATATTAAGATACTAACATTCAAACTTCAGTGCAAAGGCCAACTGTCCCAAGTCAAGAAAGGCTGTCACTCCCTAGTACTGTAAGACAGGGTTACTGGGGCACTTTCTTTTATTCTGGGTATAGATTTTTTTTTTAATTTTTGGGTGCAGTTGTGGGGCCTGAACTCTGGGCCTGGGCGCTGTCCCTCAGCTCTTCAGCTCAAGGCTAGCGCTCTACCACTGAGCCACCTTCCCAGCCCAACTGGGTATAGATTATTGATGGCACAGGGAAGCTCAGTGTCGGGGTGCTGTCTCTCTCAGGCTTGGAACTAGCTGTGGTCAGCAGATGGGATGTGGTGCCGAGCTTCCTGTGTGAGTCAGGAGAAGGCCTTGGCTTCTTACACCTTCTGTGTTTTCTGAGAAATAGCCTAAGGATGCTAGTTCTTTCTACCTTACAGGCTATTCTAACTCTTTGGAAATAGAATACATGCTGAATAGAATCTGCTATGGCTGGAGCTCCAGAGCAAATGGTTTCTAAATGTTGCACAATCCTTACCTCTCTTGGCAGGCCCGAGCCCAGGCCACTGTGCTTGAGTCTTTTACTGCCTGGAGGGGCCAGGGGACAATGCAGGAAATTGTCAACAGCCACAGACCAAGACTGGAATCAGAATCAAGCTTAAATGCCTTGGAGAGTACAAGAGAGGCTGATCCAAAATGAAGCTAAATGGTAGCCAGGAGCAGCCAGGCCACTTCTCAAAGCCCCCAGACCTTGAGATGAGCTGTTACTGGCCCTGCAGCTGGCTGCCAAGACCCTTCGCTGGCATGCCCGGCCATGTCCACAGGGTTTGTGCTGCCCGAGACCCCCGAGCGGGCCTCTGCTGCAGGCACCACCGAGGGAAGAAGCTGCCGCTCAGCGTCAAAAGCACCCTGACCACGCTGGCCCTGCCGGGTGCTCATCATGAACACACGAGGACCAGGCGACTTCACCCCACCAATCCCATTGTGAGTCACTGAGTGGCTTCCCGCCCGGCCTTGCAGCCCCATCGGGTGGGGTTTCCAGGCTGGCCAAGGACTCAGCTGATGCGCTGGTCACAGGAGCATGTAGTAATATTTGGAGGCTGGGCCAGATAGGAGCTTGTGTTTCTTGGATTCTTTTTAAGGATACTCCCAGGAGAGGCCATATTAGTTGTGAGGAATGTGATTTTCCTTTTCTTTGAATTTTATTTCCTTCTATTCCTAGCAAGTAATACAGGTTACCCATTTACATTAGATAGCCAAATCTCTCTTTAAGAGTAATTTAAATAAAAAAAATGAGTCCATGTGAAGAACAACACCGCACTGGGTATATACAGCTCAGGGAACTTAAGCGTGTAGAAAACAGTGTCGAGGGTTATTCCTGAGGCTCCTCGCCATTCTCCCCAAGTCTACGTTTGATTATTTGCAGTTCAGTGGACCACACACAACATTACTCAAGTCAGAAGCTCAGCCCTAGCTCTACAGTGCTGGTGGGTGGCCTAAAATGAGTAAGAGACGGAAGGAACCACCTAAAGAAAGGGCACAAATGGGGCCGCGGCCATTTCCCCCCAGGTGCACTCTCAGCACTCTGGTGGGTTCGGGGTGCCTGGTGCCACGTGGAGGCAGCGGGGTGCGGCCCTGAGCTCCTTCAACCACTCCACACAAATGGAAACAGAATGGCTGGCTTAGAGTTACATGCTCCGCTGTGGACTCTTCCCCTTTCCATGATCGTGTCTGAAATAGCCCACAAGCTCCCCAGGCCCCTGGAGGCCTCCTGCACTGTGACGTGATCAGAGAACCATAAACCTGCCGGGCTCTTGGAAATAACTTACGCCAGATGTCAAACTGGCCTCCAAGATGCTCCAGGCTTCTGCCGGGCCCAAGTGGGTGGGTATTTGGGTCCCCACCCTGGTCTCCACAGCACATGGACACGGTGGATCTCTGTGTGTCAGAGGGTGCAACCCAGCCGCCTGCAAGCCAAATGGTTAGATGCTGTGGGGCAGTGGTACCCCAAGGCCACTGTCAGCAGTGACTGCAAACACGGCTTGGGCTCTGGGCAGACAACGGGGGTTCTAGGCTCATTATGACTGCAAACACGGCTTGGGCTCTGGGCAGACAACGGGG